ATGGTTAGTAAAAGTTAGTAAATGTAGTTAAAAATTTAATTAAACCTTAGCCTCGGCTCTGTCTTAAAGTAATACGCAGCAAAATATTTAATAAATAATAATTTAAAGTTTACTCGAACCACACCTAGTTCAATACAGAACTAAAGTAACATGCAACCTCATGAACTTCAAGATTTCGCTAGCTTCCAAACAAATACAGAGTTGTTGGCATAAAATCTTAACTATTTGTAGCTCTAACTTGAACTATTGACTCTATATTACAATAAGAATCCTTTATTCTGTCTATACGTACAGATGTCACGCAAAAACATCGTTCAAATGAATTCGAGAACAGTGAAAATGGATATATATATATATATATATATATATATATATTTTTTTTTTTTTTTTTTTTTGTGAATATGATAAGCGAAATTTTTAGAGATTACAATACTTCTTTTACTTCGTTCAAGGAAGTAAAAAGAAATTTGGAGACAAATTCTAGCGCTTTTTAAAAAAGAAATTCAGAGGTAAACTTCGGAGCTTTTAAAACTGAAATTCTTTTTAAGCAAAGTTCTTAATTTTTGTGATTTACCACAAAAATGCTATAACATTATTTAAGGAGAAAACAAAATAATGTTATGTTTTTATACTTTTTTATTTTTTGCATATTCCCTAGTTTGTTAACTCTCAATCACGAATTCTTCTTCAAAATGTAATCTAAAATTTTGAGACAGAAGTTTTCTTTTCTTGATCCTATGCTCTTTATTTTTATCAAGAATTATTTTGGTAGATCGAGAACAGTAGATACAGAATCAAGTGCAAGAGAAATCAAATACAAATGAAACACTCCAAAGTAAAATTTAAAATTAGGTAAAAAAGTAACTTTAGTTTAGATTTTGAATAAGACTACCAACTTTAAATGCATCCGGATACCGATCCCTCTTCTTCAGGAACAACAAAAAACGCACTTTTCCCATTGTTTTTGCTTTAAAAAAATAAGTGAAATAACTGCGGGATTATAGTAATTTTTAAAAATATTTTAATGTGTCAGAAATTTAAAAAAATGTTAATGGTAAATTAATTTTTAGATTGTAAAACTATAATCTGATGTTTATGGATTAGAGGTTTCTGTTTCCTTTCTTCTGTTCTCTATGCACCATCCCACATAAGGGATGCATGAGTGATAATCTGCGATTGTTATATGCGATAAGGAGATCACATGAAGCTCAAATCGGCAATTCTCAATCTTTCATCTCTACCGACTATTTCCGCCAAAATTGTTCTTTTTTCTCCAGATCTCTTTGCAAAATATCTGATGCGGATACCATATGACTTCCCTGCACGGCCTCTTAAATTATACACATTTTTGATGCCTTTGATTTAAACTTATTTCCTCCAATTTCGCTACTAAAGATATATTTCTCATTCAATCCACTCAGTTCTCATTTCCCGGCAAGGCAACAAATCATAAAAACTCAAAACGTCTTCTTTAAAATTTGTAAAATACAGAAAACCTAAATCACCAAATACAGTTAGAAATAGTTATAAAAAAATAAAAAAGTTTTTACAATTAAAATTAAATTTCCGACGCCAAAACAAGGAATCCGGTCAACGGATTTTCCGTGCACAAAACTGAAAGTTAAATTTCGCTTTCATTGGGCAAAAAGAAACCGAAGTTGGTGCACAATTCAGTTCTTTAATAACTGCTTTAAATATAAAACAAATGGCGGCCTTGTTAGGCCTAGCATCACTTAAGCTTTTAAATTGTGGGTAATTCTACAACTATTACATTCAAATTAATTAAAGGCATAAAAATATTAACCGGACCATGAAAACAAAATAATTCAATCACTTTTAAAGAAAAAATAACACGATTTACCAACGTATGAGAGTAAAAAAACAGATCTCACCGAGCTAGATAACAGAGTGGGTATCTCTCTATATATCTTTGGTGCCTCCTAGTGATGAGTCGATACTACCGAAACGGGTATTTTGTAACGGGTACTGAAAATCGGTACATCCAAGTACCCGTTACTTCTGTACCGAAACGGGTGCTTTTCGGAATTCGTTACTTCTGTACCGAAACGGGTACTTTTCGGTATTCGTTACTTCTGTACCGAAACGGGTACTTTTCGGTATTCGCTACTTTGTAACGAAAATATGCGTCTCTTCTCGGTATTCGTTACTGGAGGATCGATGAGGGTTCAGCTCACTTCGGTTTTGGTACGAGGACAGTAGTATCTGGTTGTATTTGCGAAATGGTGATATTCGCTCCTTGTGTCCGTGAATGACCTTGAAATAGGGCATGGAATGGCAAACGCGAAAGGGGGAAACTTCCGTTCCGTTCGTCACGGAGACTAGAGTTTGAGGTGGTATAATTAATTGCCCTTGTGTGCGCGGGAGGACGAGTGTGAAATAGTGGAAATTTTTCGAAAGGCCGTTCGTTGTGCGTGCGTGTGGGGGGAATAGTGACAGTTGGAGTCACTGTCGCCGGCATTGCTCGCTTGTGATTGGAGTCGGGGAACTACTCTGATATGCGCCCTCAAGGCGCCAAATTTCTCGCCAAATATTTTTGGCGAGAAACTCTATGCTGCCATATTGCTATCTAAATTTTTTGCCTACATTTCGAACTATAAGTCTAAAATGTCTCCAAAAACACCGTTTTCGCGAATGCAAAAACCACGTTTTGAACACACAATTTAAGCTAAAAATCCGAAGCAAAAACAAAAATTTAGATAGCAAAACCGTGAAGTTTCTAACCAAAATTATTTGACAAAAGTCCATGTACACAGCGATATGTTTTAACTTAAAAAAACATCTACGAATGGCACCATCTAGGCAACGAACGAATTTACGAACTATGCACACCTCGCTTTAATAAATTAACATAACAACAATAAATTTCAAAGAATACCATGTACACAGCGTTCTGTTTCAACTTTAAGAAACATCTACGAATTGCACAATTTAGACGGTACGCACTAATCAACAAAATAACTAAAATAAATTTTAAACAATTCAAAAAAACTACAATAGCGACAGAAATTCATACTAAAAAATAACAATGAACATAACATTCTACAAAATAAGAACAAAATAAAATGCACTTACCATTAATGCTTTTTCGAACAGCAGAAATACCAATTTCATACCGCCTTTAACATGCCACCACGTAATCACTATCGTATTTATAAGACAGCCAGACAACCTATCCAGAAAATTCATACTATGGTTCACAAATAAATAAAATAACAAATAATCACAAATCCCTACTTCTATCACGCACTGCCACTAAAAATAATCTCCCATACCTTCTCTCCACACCTCCAAATACCCATTGCCCCTCAACAGGATGGCCACGACGATATTTCCTTATGCCGAACTTCAATTCAACAACTTTCACCATTAAATCTTTCCCCCCTAGCTCTCAGACAAAGCAGGGGGAACAACGAACTCCAGCAAGATTTTCACGCAACAGGTGCCATACACACGCATCGCGCCAAAAACGCAGACCATATGCCACATTTGGTGAAATTAGGGGGTATATCAGAGTTGTACCGGAGTCGGTATAGTCAGGAGGGAAAGGGAGGGGAGCGCTAGATGATTTGCAATCCGAATTGTGCATGATTTAATTTTTCATCGTTTGTAGGAGAAAAACTGCGTGGATCTGAAATGATTGATTTGGTAAGTTGCTGTTGTTGGATTGGTGAATGGAATCAACTACCAACTAGATTACTTCCTTTTCCTCAACATATTTTTAGCATAAATCATGAAAAATATTTTTCGTTTGCTTGCTTAATAGGGCAACGTAAATCATATGATCCTTTTTAAATAAATATGATCCTTTTTTATCCCGCTGTACCTACTTCAGAAAATGTCACAGCATCTAGTGGATCACTAAGCCAATCAACATAAAATACAGACGCAATTTTAAACTTTTCTAATGAAAGAACAAAGATAACTGACCCACTTATGATAATTCTTCCCCCTTCTAAAAACAGATTTTCATCTCGCCAAAAACTAAACCCAGGTCACGTGCCTAACGCAGGATTGTCAACGCCTGCTTTACCCCCCCAGGACGTGACGACGCTCCTCCGATAGGAAGAGAGGTGAACTTTGACCTGGCAGTCCGAATCTTTTTTTTTTTTTTTTTACTCCCTCTGGAGCTTATTTGAGGGGGGGAAAAACTATCGAATGGAACACCGGAAATTATCCGGACATGTTTATGTAAACATACATGTCCCTCCCTTTTTTTCCTTTGCATTTTTTGCTCTTTTTTTGCATTTTTGCTCTTTCATGCCTGATTAATAGAATCATTAGGCGATATTGCACTTACCCTTTTCACAGCGTAGTGCTGATTTTAGAATTTGCAGCTGGAGTGAACAGCGGAAGTCGTTAATAGAATTTTTTTATGCTTATCTGACGATGCTGATGACCATCTCCCAACTTCGTCACTTTTCCCATAAGATTCATTCTTGTCTCGTACTGGTGAGTATCGGTACGTTATAGAATTGCTTAGTCTCTATCAGTTTCTTACGCCTCAGAAAAAAAAAAAAAAAAAAAAAAAAAAAAAAAAAAATCGAATTACAAAATGTCTAGTAAGAAAAGGAAATTCAGCTTGGTTTGGCAGCACTTTTCCTATACTAATGAAGACGAAAAAGTTATGTGTGACATTTGTAAAGACCTTTTATCCATCAAAGGTGGTTCAACAGGAAATTTAAAAAAAACATTTGCAAAGGAAGCATCCTTGTGTAAATCTGCACGAGAAACGCGCTTTGCCGAATCAAGATGTTGATGATATTGATGCCGCTCCAGCCCGTTCTGTCGTCACTAGCCCTGCAGATGGTGGGCAACCATGCACATCCCAGCAGACTACACAACTTACGGTAGACAACAGTGCTTGTGATATTGTTGGTGTATTTTCACAAAAATCCCAGTCCAGCATAATGCAGTTTGTCCAGAGAAATACGATGGATGTACATAAAAAAAAAAAAGTAATCGATCGCGCACTGATCAAAATGGTATATAAGGATTTACAACCAATAAGTATCGTAGAAAATGAGGGATTCCGAGAATACTCAAAGGCTTTGAATCCAACCTATTCCTTACCTTCACGGAAAACGGTTTCTAAATCCTTGCTTCCTGCTGCTTATGAAGAAAAAAAGAATAGTTTAAAAAACGTTCTTAGTGCTGTACAAAATATCTGTTTGACTGTAGACTGTTGGAGCAACCAAAAGGCTGAAAGTTACATGGCCGTGACAGGCCATTTTATTGACGAACACATGCAAAGGAAAACGGTACTGATTGACTGCTCAATTTTTGATGAACGTCATTCAGCCAAAAATATTGCAGAAAATATCATACACATTTGCCAACCATATTTTCCGATGGAAAAAGTGTCTTTAATAGTGACTGACAATGCCAAAAATATGATTAACGCTGTCGACAGCGAACTAAAGTTAAAACATTTAGGATGCATTGCACACTCTCTCAATTTGGCTGTCACAAATTCTCTAAACGAGGTTAACGACCTTCTAACGAAAATTAGGGATATTGTGATAGTTTACAGGAGAAGTAATATCGCTGCAAAAAATCTGCGAAAATATCTGTGTGCTCTAGCGAGGAGAGAAAAGACTTAAAAGTCATCTTAGATGTGAAGACTCGTTGGAACAGCACGTTTTATATGGTAAAACGTTTCCTTGAACTGAAAGACGCTATTCGTTCTACAGTGGGTTTGATGACCGACCCCCCCAGAGGCTCTTGATGTGCCAGAATGGGAAAGTGTCCAACATCTTTGTGACGTTTTTAAAGCTTTTGAAAAGGTGACTTGCGAGTTGAGTTCGTAAAAATACTTGTCAGCATCTATGGCGCCTGTGTTAATCGGCGGACTTCAAAAAATCTGTGAAAATCTGCTTAGTAAAAGTGTTAATGAACAAGTACAAAATGTGGTACTAGACTAAGCCTCTATAGACTGTGTTTTTTCACACATCAGTAAACTTCCACTGAGCACCCTTGGTAGCACAGAATCTAGGCGATATTATTTCGTCCACATTAGCCAACATCAAGGGATCGATTCAACGACTGTGGTTATCCGTTGCCGCAGGGTTTCAAGATCTGGTACACGTGTTCGGTAGACCTCGTCCTTGACATAACCCCATAAAATGAAGTCTAATGGGGTTATGTCAGAAGAACGTGGAGGCCAAACCGTTGGCCCATCACGACCAATCCATCGCCCAGGAAAGGTCATATCGAGATAGGCACGGACGTCCAAACCCCAATGAGGCGGTGCACCGTCTTGCTGAAACAAGACATCGGGGTGATACTGAAGCAGCTGAGGAACAGCATACAGTTGCAACATGTCCAGATACACTGCAGATGTGATGGTAGCCTCAGCGAAGAAATGGCCCGATAATTCGATCGTGCAATAGCGCGCACCAAACATTCACCTTTGGACTGCCTCTGGTGCACTCCATGACCTCGCCAGGGGGTTGTGAACCCCAAATGCGCACATTATGGCGATTCACTACTCCACTGACAAAAAAGGTCGCTTCGTCGGAAAAGGCAATTCGTCTGAGATAACCATCATCGTCCTCAATACGTGATAGCATTTCGACCGCAAAGTCATATCGACGTGTCATTGGGCAACAAGGCCTGAACGATTTGCACTTTGTATGCACGAAACAATAAACGTTTGTGTAAAATGTCATGCAGAGAGCTTTTGGTATCTGTAATTCACGTGAGGCCCTGCGCACCGATTTCTTCGGACTTCGCAGAAAAGACTGTTTCACAGCTTCCACCCTGTCTGCTGAGGTTCTTGGTCGACCAGACCTCGGAAGGTCAGCAACCGATCCCGTGTTCTTGAATTTCTCATACCAGGCTTTAATGCTCTTGACATCAGGTGAATTCCTTCCAAATGTTGTTTGGAAGTGTCTCTGCACTGTGGTTGATGATCGTGTCTCATGGTAGCACAGGACACACTGTGCTTTCTCCTGATTGGTTAACATGGCTTCTTGGAAACTGCACCTCATCCACTACTTACGTACTGCGAACCTAAAACAGAAAAAAAAACTTGATAGTTTGTACATATTTGTATCTTACTAGCCTGAGTTACGTTTGGGTAATAGATTTACAACTATCGATTCAAGAGAAGACATTGCTCAAGCCGCTTTCCTTGACCCCCGAATAAAAAAATTGGGGCTCAAATGTGATGTCGCCAAAAAAATTGAAAGTGATATTATCTGTGAGTTATCGGTAGTTGCACAAACTACCCATAATCTTGTTGAGGATGTGGAAGGGGATGATGAAGAGATAGACGAATCATCGGTTCGAGTTTTGTTCGAGTTTAAGAGTTAAAGACTCTCGAACTTCATCAGCTCCCGCAGCAGACGCGGCGGGCGATCCACAAAGCTGCGGCAGAAGTGAAAAGATACCTGCAAGAGCCCATTCTTTCCAGGAAATTTGATCCACTGCAGTGGTGGGAAAAGAATAAAAATGTATTTCCTAATTTGTATGAATTATCACGGAAAAAAATTAGGCCTTGTGGCTACTTCAGTGCCATGCGAAAGGGTGTTCTCTAAAGCTGGATTAATACTGAATGATCGGCGAAACCGTTTGAGTGGACAAAAGTTGAAACAACTAATTTTTCTTACATTAAAATTATAATATTTAATCATTTGTTGACCTTCTTAAAATTCCAACCTAAGTTCAGCTTAAAATGTTTATTTCTATGTTTATTTTCGCTGCATTATTTTCAAAACTGTTTCTGGGAGTCAATTTTTTTATGCTTAATTTTTCGTTACATATTTTAAGTGGTCTTTATAAAAAAAATAGAAGGAATTAAATGCCTAAAATTTCCATAAAGTTAAAAAATTTGATACTTTTATAACGTTTTGCACAGCCTATCAAAGTTTTATTTGTTTTAATTAAATGAAATATTACTTCATTCAAATGTCAATTTCTTAAAAAAATATTATTTTGAAATTGTATTTAGATTATTAATATAATATAAAGTTCTACAGTTCTATTATTTACTTACTTAGCTGTACTCACATATGTTAAGTTCTCATATAGTTGAAAGCATGCTATCTTATTTTCTAGTGTTTAAATCATCTTTAATTTAAATTTTTATATCGAATGTACTTATTGAATTCATATAATGCGATTTTACAAATATTTTTGTTGCTTTTTGCTGTTACAGCATCCAGATATTACGTTCTCGTAGTTTTAAAGACATGCTGCCTTATTTCCTAGTGTTTTTAATAATCTTTCACTCAAAATTCTTATGTCGAATGCGCTTTGGCTGTAATTTGAGTTTTAAAAATATTTTTTTTACCATTCTGTTGCATTTTTGTGTTTACAGCAGTTACTGCATCCAGGTATTGCACTCTCACAGTTTTAAACCCTTTGCTATCTTATTTTCTGTGTTTTTTGATAATCTTCAATTCAAAATTGTTATATTGAATGTGCCTTTTAAAATCATATTGTGCGTTTTAAAAAAAATGTTTTTAACCATTTTGCTGAAATTTACTTATTACTGTAGTACATCCAAATATATTACATTATCTCACTTTCAAACAAAACATACCTCATTTTCTAGTGCTTTTGGTAATTCAAAATGTTTAAATCAAATATATATGTTTTATGCATTTTTTAAAATCATATTTTTTGTTTTTAAAAATATTTCTAATCATTTTGTTGTTTATTGTACGGTGCCAAATCTCCAAAAGTACAAATTTAACTCAAAATAAACCTAAATGTAATTTAAAAAGGAACAGTATAAACTTTTTTGTGGAAAAGCTCTTCAACCATGTGTATATGAATAAATGTGTAAATTTTATTTTATGCCAGTATTGTACAATTAAACACACAAGGTCATTTATGTTATATTTAATGTTTAAATTATCTTACTTTTTTATTCAGAATTTTTAATATATATAGGGGAGAGTAGAGAATAAGAGATTTATCTTTTTTAAAATTTGGTAGCTTGAATAAGTTTTATTTCGCAGTGGTACTGAAGGTCATTATCTTATCTATAAGTGGGATAAAGGTTTGTGATTATTTTAATTTCTAGACCCTACGCACCCCTATGCCCTTTACTACCGAATTGAAGGTATTAAACGACTTCTGTGGTATGTTATTTATCCGTATAAATAAAAAATATCATGTTAAAACAGATTGATCATTAAATTTCTGATATTTACTTAGGAAACTGCATCCTATCGGGTTGCTACACAGCTAGTTATAGTTAATTTTCTATTTTAAATTTATTGCGACA